GAATGTTACACGTGTTTATATGTGTTTGGTTGAATGTTACACGTGTTTATATGTGTTTGGTTGAATGTTACACGTGTTTATATGTGTTCGGTTGAATGTTACACGTGTTTATATGTGTTCGGTTGAATGTTACACGTGTTTATATGTGTTCGGTTGAATGTTACACGTGTTTATATGTGTTCGGTTGAATGTTACACGTGTTTCTATGTGTTCGGTTGAATGTTACACGTGTTTCTATGTGTTTGGTTGAATGTTACACGTGTTTTATATGTGTTTGGTTGAATGTTACACGTGTTTATATGTGTTTGGTTGAATGTTACACGTGTTTTATGTGTGTTCGGTTGAATGTTACACGTGTTTATATGTGTTCGGTTGAATGTTACACGTGTTTATCTGAAGCTGCCTTGTTAGCAGATTGAAGATAATAATATATATATACATGTTTATATTTCATATCCTCTTCAAGTATATTTCCTGTAAGTTACTGTGGCTCACTACAACATACAATGTTTGATGATACTTTCTATAACAACGGTTGTGTCCCTACGATGTCAACATTCGGAAAAAACTGTGGCTGTGATACATAATTTTTAGTGATTATTGTACATCAGCATGTATAAACATGTTTTATAGCACAGAGTATGAAGTTAATTGTGTGTATTATGGTGGTAAAGTTAAGTCGGTACCATTTCTGTTACTGATGTTATCATCGTTATAAGAGAATGGCAACAAGTATGTATACAAACTAAAGAAAATTTCAGACAAAAACTTATGAATATCACATATTTAAACAGCTACCAAACGACAACTGAACATTGTAAAATCAAACTAGCAGTAGCAAAAGAAGAGACACTTACTTGACTGTGGTTTTGAGAGTGGTACACCACAGAAGATAGTGTAATGTGTGGAAATACCACACATAAAACTGGTAGTGTAGAGACCTACTGAAAGCTATACCAATAAAATTAGCTGTGAACATCGGCAAAAGTATATCTAAAAAACGTTAAGGAAAATCAAAACTGAGTTTAAATATCAAGAAAGAACATACTTATTTAACAAAGTAGTTAGAAATATTTACATACCAAGCACAACAATTATCTTTTAAAAAACAAGAACAATGTATTCTGTTGATTTTCAAGATACTTAAAACATTGAATTTATTTTCTACTGTAAACAGAAGCTAAAGTTAAACTGTTAATATGCATTTTGTAATAATTCATAATTTAAGATTAGAAGACACTCATATATATATATATATATATATACTGTTATTGTATAATAATTACTGGAAAAGACCAGAAAACATTTGAAAACAATAACATCTTAATAACAAGTAGATCAGACTTTCATTTTATTATTATTATTCATATTTTGGTTTAACAAGCCTACAGAAAAATCAACTGGGTATTTTGAACTGATAACTAGACAGATGTAGTATATTAAATACTGTGAATATCCATGACCTATTTAAAAAGTTGAATATTTTTTCATTGAAGGATGATTTACGTGGTTATAAATACATAATATATGCAACGTTGTTAAATGCATGTTTACAAGAAACCTCAGGCACAAAACCACTTGGCTCAGTAAATAATGGTTGGGTGGAAAAAAGCCAATGCAGAAGTAAACTGTTGAAAAACGTGTAACATTCAACCGAACACATATAAACACGTGTAACATTCAACCGAACACATATAAACACGTGTAACATTCAACCGAAACACATAAACACGTGTAACATTCAACCGAACACACTTACTTACCAACTTTACTATTAAAGTTGGGATGGGTCACGACATTACTTGCTAACTTTACTATTAAAGTTGCGATGGGTCACGGCACTACTTGCCAACTTTTACTAGTGCTGTGAGCCACCCCAACTTTAATAGTAAAGTTAGCAAGTAATGTCGTGAGCCACCCCAACTTTAATAGTAAAGTTGGTAAGTAATGTCGTGACCCATTGCAACTTTAATAGTAAAGTTGGCAAGTAGTGCCGTGACCCATCCCAACTTTAAGAGTAAAGTTGGTAAGTAATGTCGTGACCCATCCCAACTTTAATAGTAAAGTTGGTAAGTAATGTTGTGACCCATTGCAACTTTAA